CAACCTATTCCATGAGCCAGCAAAAATATTTTCTAGCTCAGGGCATTGTGGGTAATCTTTGTCAGGAACCCAGGGCTCCAATTCTCTCTCCATCCCAACATGACGGGATTGTGATATCACAGAATCTATCAAAAGTTCCTGATGTTTTTCATGCTGGAGCTCACTTGCAAATCCATCACTGGTTACAGCCACGTCCTGAAATCATTTCAAGAACAGACAAACTAATATTGAAGGGGGAAAAAAGATAAAAAAATTAGCAATATTTTGTTTTAACCAAGTTTCAACTATTCATTCAGAATTATCTAACTGAAACAGACTATCAATCTTCAGAAAGCCCCCCATAAACTACTTGACAATTCATCTCTCACTGGCAACTCCACAACAGATGGAACTCTAAAGATAGGAAAATTAGCAAAACCTTTGCTATAACTTGCACAAGTTCTTTGGCAGGTATAATTAAAATCTTTGTGGGTGCCTTGCTAACAAACTCGGTAACAGCCTTTTCTCCTTGCAAAGTACCTGCCTTTATCATGCGAGCCATTTTCAAGATTATACCTGAAGTGGCAACAGAGTGGACGTTAGGAAAATGAATCATTTTTCAGAGTTCAATTTATTTGCATATGAACTCTATGTGAACAAGCACAGTTTGTCAAACTTATTACAAATGCATAATTAGTATTAAATAAATAGATGAAAATACCATACCAAATTCCTTTTCAGCATCAGTTGCATGAAATATTCCAGTGTAAACTGATCCATTTTTCACATGGACTTCCACCATATGCCCAATGAGACAGGTTGTCAAATAAACTAACCGGTCACGGGAAGAACTCTCATTACCTCCACTCTTCCCACCAGCCACTGCTTAGACAAAGAAACTTCTCATTACTTATACCAAGTAAATTAGATAAAGAAAGTATTTAATAATAAGATATTCAGGTAAGAGAATGTTCACCTGTAGTTAGTATTCTCCCCTGATTAGATTTTCCTGACTGCACCTTATTCTCCAACCTGGCCACACCCTCTATATCACCTCTTCGACGGGAAAATCCATTAGTGGAAGATTTGGGCAACAAAGCTTGTGGGATATTCATCTCCCAAGGAAAAAAAGGGCCCCTTTAGAGTATGTTTTTAGTATCAACTCAACACTTCTAAGATCCAATTCGAAAGCATCAGGAAACCATTAAATCTAAAGTTAAGCCAATGAAATAGAAAATTTCTTCTATCTAGTCATTGTTCCATGAAACCCATAAATGTGGTTGAATTAGGAAAATGGAAAAGCAATGTGCTATTCTGGGAAGCCGCGCCAATTTTAAAATTTCAGGATTCTCAATGTTAACCTAAAACTTTCCACATATAAAGTAGCATAAACCCATAAATGTACCCTATCCTCATATTGTTAGTCTAAAACTTTCAACCTATAAATGTAGCATAAGGCTCTAGGATTAACTGCTGTCAATGGTCCAACTTCACCTATTCTGCTAGTTATCTATGCAGAAATCACAATTTATTCAGAACACATAAGAGGCAGATCCTGATCTACTTAAATATGTTACTAGCAAAATATATAGACATGTAGACCCTACAAGTTAACTACAGAGGAAACAAAGCTTCCATCTAAAGAATGGAAACAGTAGCTAAAGCATAAATTCCTTAATTTTTTAGCCTAAAAAGAAATCAAGAGAAATCAAGGTCAAAACAAACTGCATTAAGTAAGATATGGTAAAATACACAAATAGATTAGCTGAGAATAGTCCACAATTGTTGCAAGAAAATTTTCAAATAAACAGCAGTGCCTTTTATCAACTTATCTAAGAACAACCTCAAAATAAAATAAATAAGCCAAAAATACAAACGCCAAAGCCTATAGTATAGGAGATGTTTTATTAGAAACCAAAAGCAAAGCAAATGCAAATAAGCACCACTTACAGAGTTTACAGATTAAAAAGAAAATTTTATAGCAAGATAAAACTTTCATATTCAAGACCCTAAACTAAATTTTATAATAAAGCCAAGTAGCCCTAAAGTAAAATTCCTAAGTGCATCCGCATTCAAAATTATTCAACAAAGAGAGGGAAAGCGATCCTTACCTTAATAAGCTTAATTAATCAATACTTACCTTAATAAGCTTAATTAATCAATACTTTCGGCACAAAATAACGGCAAATATGCACCACTTACAGAGTTAAATAAATAACATATATTTTTACCGGAATCTAAAACTTTTGCACCCAGAACCCTAAATTAGATCTATAATAGAAACCAAGAAGCCCTAAAATACATATTCTAAATGCATTGCCGTTCAGATTTTTCAACACGAAATAATCAAAACTAAATAAATAAAATGGGAGAGGAAAAGCGATCCTTACCTTAAAAAAACTTGATCAATCGATAATAACTTAGGCAGATTAAAGCGGTGGGTAATCCGAGTTGGGAGGGAGGAGGGGATTGGGAATCAGTGAGTTAGGGATAACGAGTTAGGGTTTTAAATAAAGGGGGGAGAGAGAGAGAGAGGGAATTTCAAACAAAAAAAATTGTTTTTCTGGGAAGGGAAAAGGGTAGAAGTGAAGAAGAAAATTATGAAGTAAAAAAGTTTTTTTTTATTTTGGGTAAACTCATGTTTAGTTACTTAACTTTCAGAATAGTTCTTTTTGGTACCCAACTATAAAAATGTTCAATTTGATTATTTAACTTTTGAATTCCGCTTGTTTTGACCCCTCAATTGATAATTTTAACGTTATTTTAAATTTTGGTACATTTTTACAAAAATAAACTGAATTTGTCTTCTCAACTCCAGATTTTTTAACTTCTCTTGATTCAGTGTTCGTCTCAAATCATTTTTATTTAACGTTAAAATGAATGTCAAAATATCAATAATTTACATGTGGCGGCAGTGTAAATACAGATTGCCCTAAAATAATATAAGAGAAAAAAGAGATTAATCTATAGATAAAAAATATATAAATTTTATCTAAAAAGAATAAACGAGTTCGATGTGTATCGAATATACATATTTACATGAGCACAATATAAAACATAAGGTGTATGTGTTTATTATTTTCAAATTTTATCATGTCAAAATCATAACAATAAATATTGATCACGTAAATCAAAATATTGCATTATTTTTTTTCTCATCGCAAAATCATATTGCATGTTTGATATATGTTTTTTAAAATTTATAAGTTACAACAATTCCTGAGCAAAGCTTATCTTTCTTCATCTTTGATTGATAAGCGGTAATATCAGTCTTAGATGTTATTTGTTTATCTCTTAATGGAATCATTTAGCGCTGAATGTTGAACCGTTCAGCATTCAGCGCGTTTGTTTCGTACCTCTAAATAATTCAGTGATGACTGATTCAACAAAACAGTGCTGAATGATTCAACACATAAGTACATTCTGAATGATTCAGAGCAATTATCAAACAACATGTCACATTCAGAGCTAATTCATACAGAGCATCTGAATCATTCATCATTTGAATCATTCAGCGTTTAATCATTATGAAGTAAACAAACATCCCTTAGGGTGCATTTGGTTCACGAAATGTAAGATTACCAATGAGAATAAAAGATTATCATGGAATAGAATTACTGGGAATGTTGTATTTTGTGTTTGGTTGGTTTAGCAGGATGTAAGATTACCGTGTTTGGTTAAAGGAATAAAAGATTATTTGAGTGCATATTTGACCAAATTATCCTTATTATATATTTGTATAATATTATAAATTGTAAAATATTTATATATTTTCTTTAAAAAATTAAATTCATAATATTTATATAATTTTTTTACAAAATTAAAAATATAAAAAAAATGTTTAATGAAGGGGTTTAACCCCTGAACTACATATAAAATTTTAATTATAGATTTTTTTTGTAAATCTAAAATAATTTAAGGATAAAACTATAATTTAACCTTCGTAGAATTTTTATTATTCAATGATAGAAGAATGATATTTTTGAAAAAATAAAAATTTAAGGGTATTTTAGTCAAAAATGCCAGTAATGTTACAATACTTAAGGGAAGGGAAGTAATGACATTCTCGGTAATATACCCCAAAAAATCTACTATTGGTAATAAAATATTACCGGGAATGAGATTCCCGGCCAACCAAACATGGGAATGTATTTTTTTATTTACTTTCTTATATTATTATATTTGTTTTTTTAATTTTTTTTTTAATTTTTTAATTTTATCTTTATGAATTTTTTTATGCTTTTGTTACACAATTTTCTATATTTTTGACATGTTTTCGCTTATATTTTTCTTATAATTAGATTTGACAAACATTATAATTGATTAAGATTGAACTTATTTATTATCATATTGATATTATTTTCTTTAGACTCTTAAATTGAATTTAGATATGCGATTTATGTACATGGATTATTTTCTCACGTTGTCCAACTCTGATTTACGTTTTATTGATAGTCTTTCGATAGCTTCATTTCCTTTTATGATTCATTTGTCGATGCAATCATATTTGTTTGTATTTTTATTTCGTTGGAGTTTGTTTGGTTAACTTTTAAACTTTTTTCTTATATGGTCGTTGTGTGATCTTAAGTGACTAATATTTTGTGGTAATGATTATAAGAAAATGTTAATTATATCTTTAATTTATAATTATGATTGTAAACCTTCATTATAATTTTAGATATTTTTCTTTATAATAAAATTAATGACTTCGGTAGAAAAATCACATTGAATCTAAAATAAATTTAGAACCACACTATTTTTTTTTTACAAAATTATGATACCTCAAGAATCATTACACCTTTTTTTATTGAGTAAGGATTAACAATTAGACCTTTCTTTTTATATACAAATTAAAACAATTCATATATTTTATAATGATAAAACTTTAACTTAAATACTTAAATTAAATTAAAATATTTTAATTAATAAATAAATTAAAATTAATTTAAAATTCGAACCGTAAGTATTAATAACTTTAAAAAACATATATTAAATATTAGATCCCTTCTAATTATCTAATTCCACCATGGATTAACAGATTCAGAGCTCCCCAAAGGGAAACAAACCAAAAGCCATGGCTGAAACTTCTTCAACATCATCTCCAAAACACCTCCAATCGCCAAATCCCATGATGATGGACCCTTCGTCGTCGGTTCCTGCTCCACCGTTGTCAACGGCGACGGCAAACATTAACCCAACACCGCCTCTGACTGCGCCATCTCCGTCAACAACACCGACAGCTACGAATTCCACAATTCTTCCTCAAAACAACAACAGCAACCCTTCTCCTTCAATTGATCCCTCACTGCAAAATTTACAGCAGCAGCAGCAAATCTCGCAAATTTCGTCGCCGCCTCTCCCAAATCTAACCCAACAACAACAACAACAGCATCCTCAGCAACAAATTTTACAGCAACAGACGCAACAAGGCGTTGGGGGTCTATCCAATTTCCAAATGCAGCAAACCCTTCAAAGATCGCCGTCGATTTCGCGCATTAATCAACTCCAACAACAGCAACAAACCCAGCAGCAGCAGTCTCAATATGGAAGCGTTTTAAGACAACAAGCTGGGTTGTACGGGCAAATGAATTTTGGTGGTTCAGCTTCGATTCAAGCAGGTCAACAACAGAATCAGCAGATGGGTAATCCCAATTTATCTAGGTCAGCTTTGATTGGGCAAAGTGGTCATTTGCCTATGCTCAGTGGTGCAGCAGCTGCTGCTGCTGCTCAGTTTAATTTGCAGTCTCAGCTTTTAGCTTCGGTATGAATATTTCTTTACGCCTTTTCTGGGGGAACTTCATTTTTTAAAGCTTTTAGGTTGAGTTTTTGTTTAAAAGTGAGGACGTAGTTTAAGATTATGTAATTGCAACTTTGGGTTGTACTTTTTCCATGAGTTGCATGAATTGTTGATGCTAAATTACTGGTTCATTTGATGATTTGTTTTTATTTTTCTTTTTGGAAATGCTTTTATGTTATGTTTGAAACAAGAATTTGATGAACTGGATTTGGGTATGATTTGCTACATAATTTCTGAGGAAGATATGCATACATTGTACATAATATAGTTGGGATTCAATATATATTTGAAAGGTATGAAAACATGAATGTCAAATTTCCAAATTTCTACAGGAATTTAGATTTCATTACTAAATAGGCACCCGAAAAATTGATGAATTTCAGAAAAAAAAAATCATGAATGTTATATTTAAATGTGTTCTACCACACAACTCCACTATTTTTGAAATCTAAATCCATATTTCAAAATTCAAGTTTCCAAATACTATCTCATGCATTTTGGATTTAAGTCTTTCCTGTGCACATTTTAGTAAGGGATTTAAGCGAGTTACATTTGTCTTCGAGATATTGCTGTTGGCTAAAGTTGGAATTATCGATGACTGCCAATGTTTCTTTTATTTCCACAAGATAACCGTTACATAGTTGATGGTTTTTGTCGGTGAGTACCTCAACGTCATTAGTGCTTTGCATTTCTTGCTTTTTGAAAATGAATATGCGTTGTTTCTACGCCTTAAGCACTTTCGAGTTACTAAATAGTGTATTTTTATGATATCCTTTCTTGCTACAAAGCAATTCAAACCATGCCCTAGTTTTCATCTAAATTTGTAAGATTATAATGATTTCTTGAAACATACCTTGTTTCATTTGAATTCATTGTAATTATTTTCTTGTTGATATTAATAATTATTGCAGAACATATTACTGTCTAGGTTTGATAGATACCACTCCTGTCTAATTTCATATTTTAGAAACAATTTTTCTTTTCTTAAAACATCTGAGGTCTTTTCTTTTTGTAGCCGAGACAGAAAGCTGGTTTGGTGCAAGGATCTCAGTTTCATACGGGAAACCCAACTGGGCAATCTTTGCATGGGATGCAGGCAATGGGGATGATGAATTTGAGCTCACAACTAAGGAATAATGGTGCTCTTTATGCTCAACAGCAGATGAATCAGGGACAGATGAGACAGCAGTTATCGCAACAGACACAACTCACATCACCTCAGGTATTTTTACCTTTTCTTACAGTGATGTATTGACCACTTCCGTATGCTGTGGGTTTTTTACCTTAATTTGTTCTGTTATAATTGTTCAATTTGAGAAATCATTTTTATCGGTACGTGACTAGGTGCGATTCATCCAGTTTATCTATGGGTAGGGAAGTTCAATTTGCACTAATATAAAAGTTACGTTTGAAGCAGTACATACTTTTTACTACATATTGGTCTTTAGTTATTCTTTGACTTTTACCACTCAGACTAGATGGATAAAATTTTAATTTTATTCTTATAACTGGAAATTTGCAGCTTTAGGTTGCACAGATTTTCTGTGATATGTATAGGGTTAATACCCAAGAAGTGAAATCGAAATCATGTATCTCCAATACCACACTGACTATCATTTTGGGGAAAGGTCTAATTTCCTTTTACTATAGTTGGAATAGAAGCCAAGTTTACCCAGCATGTTATTTAGCTCCATAAGTTAACTAAAACCGAATATGTTATGTTATCCCTTTAATTGAATCTTATTTCTTAACCTGCCTTGTTATTCCATTGTCACCTTTGGTGGAAATTTTATGGGGTAGGAAATACTTAAGATATTTTTTCATGTGGTTTTATTACTTGTTTTCGAACTAAATTGTTAACCCTTCAATTGAAGTTTATTTCTCATCCCCACTTTAAACTACAGGTTCAAAGCTTACAAAGAACATCTTCTCAGGCATTTATAAACCCTCAGTTATCAGGGCTAGCTCAGAATGGACAACCGGGTATGATGCAGAACTCTCTCTTGCAGCAACAGTTGTTGAAACAAATGCCGTCAATATCAGGTGCAGGGTCACCTTCCTTCCGCCTTCAGAGGCAGTCACAAATCCTCTTGCAACAGCAACTCGCTTTTTCTTCACCTCAGTTGCAAAATTCAATGGGCTTGAATCCTCAACAATTATCTCAGCTAGTACAACAGCAGTCACAAATGGGGCAATCTCAAATGCAGCAGCCACAGCAGCAGCTACAACAACAGCCTCAACAACCATTACAACCACAACAGTCACCGTTGCATCAGCAACAACAGCAGCAGTCTCCAAGGATGACCAGACCTGCAGGCCTGAAAACTCTCAGTTTGACAGGCTCACAGCCCAATGCAACTGCATCCAGTACAACCACACCTGGGGGAAGTTCAAGCCAAGGAACTGAAGCGACCAATCAACTTCTCGGAAAAAGAAAGATACAGGATCTAGTTTCACAGGTTTTTTCTCCTTTTGACTGTCTTTTTCATTCATTTGTGTTAGATTCTGATCATTTTCTTTCTTCTTTTGTTGTGGCATCATTTTTTGGCTATCTCAGGTTGATTCACAAGGAAAGCTAGAACCTGAAGTTGAAGATCTACTTCTGGAGATTGCTGATGATTTCATAGACTCTGTAAGGCTCTCTAAGATAGAATGCATCTTATTTAAGGCTTTACCGTGTTGATGTTGCCTTTATGCATGTGGGGTTGCGGGTACATGGTTCCGACACTTATAGTTTTAGTTTCTGATGTAATCAACCACGCATCATAATATAGGTAACCTTAAATGCTGAGCTGCTACAAATATCAATATGGTTGCTAGGTTAGCAACTTGAATATAGGTTGCTACAAATATCTCTTTATGTCAAAAATAAATTGAATATTGCAGAATGTTTTTAAAGGACTATATGACATTCTTCCTGCAATATTTTGTGCTTAGACTGAAGAGAGATTATTTTGGACTCAAAGGTATTTGATATTTATAACCATTATTTTGAGAGGAAAAGAGTGTTTTGATTGTTATAACTAATAGAGTGCTATAAATTTAACTTCTCCATCAGTTAGTGTCTAACTAACTAGTTAGTATTTGTAGCCTGTACAATTAAACCATCCCTATCCACAGCTTAATTCTCTTTCTTTCAATCTTCTTATTTTTTACCATTTTCTTTCCTGTCACCTTCTGGATACCTTCGTTGCTAGTTAGGTAATGGACTAATGGTCTTCTTTGTTTAAAGATTGTATCGTTTGACATGTTTTCAGGTGACTACATTTGCATGCAATTTGGCGAAGCATCGCAAATCTTCAACATTAGAGTCCAAGGATATCTTACTGCACTTAGGTTTGTCATTTACTATATTGCATTTGTTTGGAAGATAACATGTTAACATAAGGATACAACAAAACTAAATAAATTCTGTTGCTGGTGTCACTAGCTTAGACCATAGCTCCAAGCTTGTGCGGCTCTTGAATCCTGGAATTGACTCTTCTGAGATTCTAGATCAGCCTTCCATATATATCCTGGCTGTCAGAAAATTTCTAAAACATACCATATTGGGTATCTTATATTAAATTATGATGTATTTTACTGTGTCATTACTGTGGGATTGTAGAAAGTTTTATATGTTGTCTGCATAAGACAACCTTTTAGAGTTTCTTCTTTAATTGTAAGTGAAGCTTTAATGAATTTTGTACGTGGGATCATGTACAGAGAAAAACTGGCGTTTGACTATTCCAGGATTTTCAAGCGAAGAGCGGGACCAAACAAGACCTGTAAGGATTTCTCTTTATCGTTGTTGAGATATCAGCGCACAAAATGTCTTAGAATCCTGACTTTAATGCACGTGAATTCAAATTTTCATTTCAAGGTCATTCATTTCTTTTTTGGAACTCAGTTTGACACATCTGTGGTAGACAATATTTTCTCTCCTTCCGCTAGTCGGTTCTTTCCTTGGGGAATAGGACTACTATGAGGGAGGTTTTTAATGAGGCCTCCTACTTCTATCAAAAAAAAAAAAACTTTGCCTATTCAATCAAACCTTCTTTTGAGCTGTCTTCTCTGGCATTTCTTCTTATGTTATTAGCATAAGCACCTTTTTTTATATGGAAATCTTTGATTGTTTGCAAGATAAGAAAGATTACAACTGACGAATTTGAATCCTGTTTCTAAAACATGCAGTTATCGAGTGACCTCCACAAGAAGCGTCTTGATATGGTGACTGAAATTTTCAGTACTAATAACTTTTGTCTTACTCTCGAGCATTAAAACTTTTATGTTTATGCAAATTTCTTGATTAGATACGAGCACTGATGGAATCGTCACAGCTCGAAACAAATGCAAATAATCCTAAAGAAATGCTGAGACAAGGGGTTGGCAACCCAGCTGGTGCAAACCATTTAATGAGACCTTCACCAAGTTCCGAGCAGTTGGTTTCACAAGCAGCTGGTTCACAAATGCTGCAGCAAATAACTCGATACTGACTAAAAGTTGTCCATAATTTGGATCCAAAATCCTTTGTTTATGGATCCACCGTAGGTGAGCAATGTTATGAACTTTAATTAATTATTTAGTGTCTCATCTTTTGTCACTGCCGGATAGGTATTACTTTATTGCTACGTTACTCAAACTTGAGGGTAGGGTATATAAGCAATACAAGCATGTCTCTGGGGTATGTTCATTTTTTTTAGTCTTTATCCTCCGTGTTTGGAGGGTCACCTCATACCCATGTTCAGAAATATGTCGAACATGGATATTTCATGACAAACAAAGAGTCGAAACAACATAGATTTATTGTCTACTTGTCTATGTTTTATCTTGAGCTTATAGAATCCTTACTGATAGGCATTCTACACATTATAGGGTTATAATCTGAGGGGAAAAAAGGAAATCTGACATGCACTACCCATTTTCAAAGATGAAATATAAATAGTTTCATTGCCAAGCAACCAAGCCAATTTGCATTCAGCAATTATTACATGTCATTCTAATGCCATCCTTTATTCCGATGATCCGGATAGAGATTACATGTCATGTTTGACACTGGCACTCAAGTTTGAGTAACATAGGCTAGACTTGCCCCGTACGTCATTCAACGCTGTCCGGGACTCTGGATCATACTATGTTCGTGTCTGTCATTTATTCGGTATGAACTTCCAGTCCCTATTTCATTCGAATTTAACTGCAATATTTTCGACCGCCTCTTTTGCAGGTTATAGTAACTGAAGCTTGACAAAAGCAAAAGCTGTAATTACTTGGTAAAAGTGTCAAAGACGTTGAACTTTTTAAAATCTATCGCGCTGTTTGACCATCTAGTTTATGTTGTAAGTGAATCTATTAATGGAGTTTATAAAGCGAGTTTATTATCCCGGTTTAAGCTTCTTGGTCACATATAGAGCTTGGCCTTGGCCTGGATCTGTGCCGTGTTCTTTGTTATTTATTTATTTTTAAAAATTTATTGTCATTGATGCTCTTTTTTTCCAACTCCACCCTGAATGGTTTTTTTTTTTTGAAATTTAAATTTGGGCCAGGTATGAGTTTAGAGTGAAAAATCCCTGATCCGGGATAATAATATAATTCTTCTCTATGCATTTAGAGATAATTGTTATAATATCTCTATATTCTTTCAATTAGGTCATATTTTATTGAATAGCAATGAGAATTTTTTATCGGGTACGGTCTTTACCCCAAAATTCAGGTTGAATTTCGGACCGAATAAATCTTTCTTAACTCTGGGTCGAGTCAAATTTAGGTCAGTAAGAAATCAGACCTTGTCGACTCATGATCATCTCTAATTATATATCTCTCCAAATAGGATTATTGAACACGACACTAACGAGATGTGGTCCAAATAAATGAGACTAGCTTTCCAATCGTCATAATAATGACATTTCAAGAATTACTACGAACATGATGATACTAGATAGTGGCAATTCAAATTGGAATGAATGTGTGTGTTGTATCTCAAACAATTATTATCTAAATTTAATTTATTTTTTCTGATAATGAATTTGGGTTCAAATATTCATTATTGAATCTATCACGTGATTTTAGTAATAAAAAAATATTACTTTTCTCAGAGGTCTTGAGTTTAGACAGTTACGTTTGTAAGGTGATCAAGAAAGTTATTTTCTTAGAGGTTGAGTCTAGACAATTATATTTGTAAGGTGATTAAGAAAATTATAAACAAATAATATCTTATAATAATCATTTTTTCAGGTTATTCAAAAGAAATAATGATTCGTTTTATTTTTCCTAATATCATAATTAGATCAAGATAACCAAAATCATTATAGCCTTATTATTATTATTAAATTCAAATACCTAGTGGCTTTGGATGATAATTTTTATTTAATTTAGATTACTCCAACTCGATGTTAAAATAAAAAAGGATAGTCATAAAGCATGCAATAACAAGTACAAGGCTTATTAAAATTGCTAATCATGGTCTAGAAGGGATGATCAACTTGAAACAAAAGATTATTGATCTCATCAGGTGACTCCATGTTTGCAGCATGCCCTGCATTCTTGATTATCTCCAACCTTGAACTTGAAACCAAGTGCCTAAATGATCCCAAATAATTATTCATAATTGGAGATTAGAGTACACTTAAAAATTGTAATTAGTGAAAAGAAAACTTATTAGTTCACCTTTGTAGCTTGAATGCAAGTTCTAATGGAAAGACCTTATCATGCTCCCCCCAAATTATCAGTGTTTCCTACATCCAAAAATGAAAAATCCCAATCCATTAGTTTCAAAAGCATTGTATAAAAATATTTAAATTCAAGGGTAAAGTACATTAGAGGTCTCATTAAAATATGACAAAAATGATATTTTTGGCCAACAAGCTTTCAAACATTTAAAAATGGTTATTAAACTCATCGAACTGTTACAAAATGGTCCCTACATGCTACAAATAGCAACAAATTCCGATATATTTAATAATCATTTTGTAATAATTTGATAAATTTAAATGATTACTTTATAATCGATTGAGAAATTTATGACTATTATATATTATTTGAAAGTTCACTAGTCACAAATATTATTTTGACATAGTTTAGTGACCTCTAGTTTACTGTACCCTCTAGTTTAGTGACGGCAATCGGAAACATGGAGTGGAAGGAGCAAAACCTGAGGAATAGCAGGAAGATTTGTGTCGGCTTTCTTCTCCACCAAGTAATTCGCAAGCTCAACCTTCTCTTTCCGGCAATGGTCATACATCAGCTGCAAACATACTCAAACCTCGAATTCCTCATCCTTCGATAACGCTGGATTATGTTAGGGTTTAATTATGGTTTTAGTCCCCGTGCTATTCAAAAGTTGGCGTTTAATCTTTCATTTTAATTTGTTGAGTTTACGATGATAATTATTGTTAAGTTGATGGTGCAAAATTTTTATTGTTATTCAATCGCTTAGACAAACTTAGGTAAAAATTGTAAATTAATTAAGGTGTTATCAATAAAATTTTAGTTTTAAAATGAGACAAGTATAGAGACTAAATTTTAAAAAAAACCCAAAGAGAACGAGAACTGAGCTCACAATTAAACCATTAAACTTAACATAATAAAGGGACTGAAACAATAAATAGACCTTGGTTTTACCGGAGGAATATGAAGCATCGAGCTTACAGTTATGAACTGTCGAATGAAAAAATCAGGTACCCAATTCAAAGCATTTTCCTTGCACATTGATAGTTTCACCAGCAACCTCAAATCATTGGGTTTCTTCGGCACAAGAATCTCCGTCGGATGCCGTCCGATTTCCTTCAGCTGCGCCGCCCTCTGTTCGTCGGAATACAACAGTCCACTACTCATGATAACCATTCTCTCCACCACGTCGGGGCGCATCTCCGCCATCCGGTACTCCACGAACCCGACGTAACTGCTGGCGTAAAGGGAGAACCGATCGACGCCGAGCTTCCCCAGCCCATTCAACAAGCATTTCGCCTGGAACAAATCGGATCTGAGCGGGGATTTCGAATAGGATCTCCCGGAGAACAACAAATCGGGGATGAACAAATTGAACCTTCGCAACAGAGGACCCACTTGATAAATGAACTGCCAGAGCGGGTTCCCGCCATAGCCATGGACCATGACGAGAGTCGGCTTGTCGAATCGACGGTGTTAGTGACCCAGAAATGGAGGGTGGTTTGATCGTATAAATCAACGGCGAATGGGGAGAGATGACATGAACGGAAATAGAGGGACAAGATTGAATCCATGAATTTGATAATGGACTGGTTAAAGGTGAGGATGTTAAGAACAAGGTGTCGGAGAAGGGCGAGGGTTGTTGAGAGATAGAAGGAGATGAGTTGCCATAGATTTTTGGATTCCATTACTGCAACAACAAAAAATTTGTTATGCTTTTCGGAATTTGAGTTTCAGAAACGGTATTTGAATATGTTTTTTTAAATGTTTTATTGTTGTAATTAAATTTAAAATCTTTAAAAATTAAATAGATTTTAATGATATGTTGATCATTTAAATTAATTTTTTTTTTGAATTAAAAGAAAGCCTAAGACAGTAGTCTAAGCATGTCTAGTGACATCGTTTTGTTGTGCATTGACTGCTTCTAATCTAAGAAGATTAACAAGCTCATCAGGGGGAGAGTCAAAACGAATCAAACTGAAGTGATTTCAGGAGGCAAGCTTTGCCATCTTATATGCAATCTTGTTCTCATTCCTGCTTATCTATTAGACCTTTGTTATCCGACATCCAGATCTTCGTTGCTTCAAGATTGCGCGCACTAGAGGAATATAACTGTCAATGGCAGCACTATCTTCGACCAGCTTGACTGCTCTATTACAGTCTGATACTACATAAAATTTCAATTTTTTTTTATTTTAAATGTTTTTTATTAATATCCAATGAATATTAGTGTAATTTTTTTATTATATTAAGTATATTTTTTAATTAATCTAGAATGATTACAAGAAATTTTCTATCTATAACTCATTTTTTATTATAAGGAAATTCAAGATTTTTAAAAAAGATAATGCATTCATTTGTCACTGATATCGTTGAACAAGTTCAAAGTATTATGTATATAAATAGGTCCGGCCTAATACATATGTCAGATGGACCTTAGTTCAGGACAGCATGTTTGAGGGGACATCATTTTTTTAATGTTTATAGTGTGTATATATATTTAACCTAAAAAAATAATCCAAAACACCTGATCGGTGGCTTAATGTAGTCGACGAAGATCCAAAAAAAAAAAAATGTGCCAATTGAAAGTCCAGGACATCTTAATAAAGTAAATAAACGGCTAACGTGCTAATTCAACGCATGATCATCTTAAAATTAAGGCAAAAACCACGGGATTATTAAATTGACAGCAATAACTACCGCTAAACAAAAGCAGGAAACAATAAAGTAATTTACACGCAAATCAATCAAATTTTAAGTCCAAATTATATGAGTGTTGAGCTGTAAAAAAATGCGAGAATATATATAAATTAAAGGGCAGACCCATGAAAAAAAAGGAAATAAATAAATGTAAATGCATTAGGAAGTTAAATAAATGAAAGAATGGTGACTAAATCGAATAATAAAAGTAAAACAGAGACCAAGATCGAAGTAAAACTAAAGTTTTAGGACTCAGGTAAGAATTTTGTCAAGTGGACACTGAGGACTCTAGAGAACTAAAACGTAATTACCAAAATATGTAAGCCGAAATTAGAAATAAAAATAAATTAAAACGTAAGTTAATTACCAGATGAAGCACACAAAGATGAAAGTCCAAGACATCTATTCAAATAATGGAGTTTGCAAGAAGAATGAATATGTTCTTTAATGTGTTGATAGCATATAAAATTTTGTTGACGATATAGGTTACAGTTGCTTCCTCGGAAAGAAGTTTTTCAAAATTGAAGCTCTTGAAATCTTATCTTCGAGGCACGATGACTCAAGATAGATTAAACGGATTAACAATTCTAAGTATCGAAAGTTAATTTTTACAAAGTCTTGATTATCGTAAAATAATAGAGGTTTTTGCTTCAAAAAATGCACGAATGTATCATTTTAGGTGATATTTGTAGCCTTGTAGGTTTTGGTTTGTATTAGTATTGATATTGTTTGACTATAATTTTTATTACATTTTTGTTTTTAAAAAAATTATTTATGTTTTATCTATTATACGGTACAAGTATATGGACATAAAATTATTATCTCGCCCAGGATATTAAAATTCATTAGACCAACCCTGTATATAAATGTTAGTGAAATAATCATTCTTTTGGTATACCAATAGTAATGAAACTAACTAAACAGTATTGCTGGAGTTGAAGTCCCCCTGAAGCAACGACAATACCATAGCAGGCGGAGTATGAAACTTTCATAATCATCCCTGGAAGCCAAATTCGTCATGCAGACCGC